AACCGGCGACCTTCTAGCTGTGAGGCAACGGTGCTACCAACTGCGGCACCAAGGATCCGGATCCGTCTATTTGTAGCTTCCATTCACTGTGTAGTGAACCGCCCCGCCTCCTGTTCTGAAGCGTCGTCCGCGCGCTGCGCCTGCAGCTCATTTGCATAAAGTGGGCTTGACTTCTACTTAATGCAAATGAGGCGCGAGCGGGGGAGGTCCGACGCCTCGCGAAACTTTCGTCAAACAGCTAAACTCGCCGTTTGTTGGACTAAAATGAGGACAGATTCAGCAGCTGCACAGCCTGTTTCTCAAAAGTTTTCAGAAATACTTTTCGCTGAACGGTTTTCCTAATAAAAGCGAAAGTTTGCGGTTCTACGGGACTGGAGAGCGGCGGTCATGTGACCTCCAGGTGGCGGCTCGTGCAGCCTTTAGTCTTCACCAAGTCACGGAATCTTTACATCAATATGAAACTATGGTCTCCAAATCAAGGCAACAACTGGTGAACGTGCCATGTTGATGAGATAGTACAAATATTTTCAGTATATGTTGAATATTGTTCAGACACGTTTCACACAGAACTGAGACTACAGAAGTGTAAAAACATAAGTGAGGGGGTTCCTGGTGTCTTTTCTGTCTGGTAAGGGGTCCTTGGTACAAAGGAAGTTCAGAACCCGAGTATTACACTGAGGAAGAAGTAAACAGCACTGTTCTTACAGGACTGACATATGAGTGCTCTTAAGGTCTTCATTTTGTTTTGTTTTTGGAGGCGCTTCTCCCATTTGTGTGTCCCAATAGGCTGTTTTCTGTCACGTGACGCAGAGTGCCCGCCCTCTTCTGGTCTCTGAATATAAATGCAGTCACTGCGCCAGCGTCCCATCCAGTGTTGTCTCCAGCGTCCTCCGCAGCAGGCTGCTCTGCCCAATGGCTGCCCGAACATCTGCGCCATATGTGGCCTTCCTCCTATCAGTGCTGACCTCGTGCAGCTCCTCGGCAGGTGAGCCGCGCGCGTCTGCGGGTAATTCCAGGAGGAAGTTTTGTTGTGGAATTGTTCCGTTTCTGACTTTGCTGCTGTTCGGATGATTCAGTTTGGATATTGGTGTGTTGTGCTGAAGAAGGCAGTGTTGTTGGTCACATGTGATGTTTGTGTTGCTGTACAAATCCGTTTTGTGACATTTGTCGTCTGACCTCCTGTGATCTCATCACACCCACTGGGAAACTCCAGGCCACAGCCCCGCACTGTGGGCAGGTCATAGGTGTTTCATTGTTGTTGTCCTGGTTAATCATTTTGTTCCGTGACTGGTCCGTGTATGCACTGGTCATTGGATTGTCCGTTCAAGAAAAAACGAGTGGTTATTTGATTTTAATTTTAAAATTCAAAAATGTAAATTTAAATTCAAGGCATTTTTCTTTATCGGGATCAAGAAGGGATGAGCAAAATTTTTAGTTTCTGTTTCTAAAAACAAAAAATAAAATCGTTGAAAGACAGAGACAAAACAAAAAAAAGCGTGAGTGAGGGCGGGGCTGTGGAGGATTTCGTTGCTGCTGTGTGACAGAAGTTGGTGGACATGGATCAGTACGGTGTTTTTCAAAATAATAAAAACGTGTCTCGGGGAAGAGGACATGATGCAGAAAAACGAAGCTGCATGTTTCAGGTGAAAGCTAAAAATAACTGCATCTAATCAGGGAGTGGTTAGCTGGCATTACTCTGTGCTATCAGGGTGTGAGAGTAAGGCTCCAGAGACATTTTAGCCTGAGCTAGAGAAACCACAGGTAGAAGATATTCATTTTCACACTCGTAGGGATTATCAGCTTTATTTCACATTTTAACTGAAGATAAGATAAGAGCCTTTATTGATCCCTTACAGAGAAATTTCATTTAGACTTACATCCTGTCCAAGAAGCATAAAGACAATAACTGGGGGAGACAGGAGCTGTCGGGTCTGCCAGCCAAACCGGCGCCCTTATCAATTAGAGGAAAAAGGAAAAACAAGAGAGAAAAATTAGGAAAAAAGGCAATTCCCAAACTAGGCTCCTCCAGGGGGGGGGGGGGCACAGTGTGGGATTAGGAAAAAAACAAAAGTGTCAGCAAAATAAGAACGATTGCAGCAAGACCAAGACAGAGAGCCCAGTTGGTTTTGATGTAGTACAGGACATGCTCCTGGAGCCTTAACAACCATCAGCCCTTCAGATGAGACTACAGATCTGCAGTTCAAGCCATGGAGCTGTTTAAAAGTGACCTGCTCACAGACTGATGACAGACTTGGACTTTTCCTTTTTCAGAGCAGAACGTGTCGGTGAATACTCAGGACAATGCCATCCTTCCATGTATGGGTCCCAGAGATGCTTCCATCACACTATTGCAGTGGAAGATGCTCGACAAGGACTCGGAGGGTTTTGTCTTCTTCTTCCGAGAAAACCGCAGTTATGAGTCCTACCAGATTCCATCTCTGAAAAATCGAGTGCAGCTCAGCGATCCGCAGATGAAGAATGGAAACGTGTCCGTCACTGTGAAGAACGTCACTTTCAGTGATGCTGGAAAGTATGAATGTTCGTTTTACACCAGCAGCAGACAGCGCAGCAGGAGAGCCGCTGACTTCAGTTACATCATCAACCTGCACGTTGAGGGTGAGTTTGACACGAAGCTGCTCGTTGATGTGACAGTGAAACATCTCAGATCAGACGTCTGATGACACTTAATCCTAATTTAATCTACTCACTGTTACATTTGCAGATTCGTGACGTATCCACACCTTTGCACCTTCTATTTATTTACTTGCATGTTTGCATTTGTTTACATGCAGCTGCCATTTTTGTGTACATTCAGCAAACTGTAACATCCAGAAGTGCGATGTCGCTTACTGTTGTTAAAGTTCTTGATGTACCAAATGGGAAGTCTTTAAGGTTTTCATAGAAACACTTATACATACCAGTGTTCTTCTCACTTTCCATATTTCATATTTACACATTTCCAAGTTATCACTGACAGCATTGCTGGTTGATTTTGTTGAACACTGTGCAATGACAATAAAGAAACTCTGTTCTCTTCTGTGCTATTTCCTCTTTCTGCTCTGACACAGAGAGACACAGTGGGCGGCAGCATTTGGCGCTGGTAGCACCTCTGGTGGCTCTGGTTGCACTCTTGGTTGCAGTCCTGTGGAAATTTAAAGGCCGCACAGAGCAGCCTGCTGCGGAGGAAGCTGGTGAGCAACAGCTGGTGTAAACACTTTCCATCACCAAGTTCTGAACTGTTATGTGTCCTGCCCTTCACCACAAATGTTAATCAATAATTGATCAATCAGTCAATCAATCGGCAGGCTTAACATCAATTCAGCACACAATCACAAATGTCGTGGCTCATCTGGTTGCATTGCCATATATTGCAAAAAATAAGTAAGAATCAGACAAAGGATTAATGTAAAAGAAAAAAGGACACATGAATCAAGTCCATTGGAATAGCGCCACAAGTATTTAGATATGCAGTGAAAGACAACTGTTGTCAGTGTGAATGTAACAACGGAAATTCCCTGCAGAGAACTCGTGCAACTCAAATGACAATCATATAATGTGAGGATGTTATAAAACTTAACGAACCAAAGAAACACTCAGCTGTTCATCACAGTTTCATCACAGATGAGGTTGACTCAGTTATGCTGTCTTCTACACAGATTGTATATTCTCATTCCTGTGTGTAATTCAAATTCATATGCTCTTATTTTTTATTTCATATATTTTATTTTTCTACTTTTATTTGTTTTTGTTTCACAGTGTAATCTGTGTATGTGAACATAATCATTTTCACCAGGGATAGGCTCCGCCCCCCCACGTGCCTAGTGAGGATTAAGTGGTGTATAGATGATGGATGGATAATTTATCGGCTCAAGCTTTTGCATCACTTGACTAAATTCAGTGTGAATATTGAGTTTTCACTTTGTATTGAAGATAGTACATCCAAAAGTGTTTTATTTTTGTTACATGATATACTGTTTATAATAAATAATATTAATTGGTTTTGTAGATTGTATCTTTCTTTCACAAACAACCTAAACATTAAAACTGCCTCATTTGAGTGTCCCTGAACATTTAGATGTCTCCGGTGTAATTACTTTAACCATTACTCACAAGGATCATCTCTGGTGACATCTTAATTAGCAGAGTACTCTGTAGTGGTGTGGATTAATCCAGAACATTCAGACATGGAGACTAAACACTGAAGCAGCTGTTCAAGTGCAGCTTCAGTGAGTCAACGGGCCAGTTCCTATCTGTGGTGTTTCATGAAGTCATGTGACTTGTTAAACCTGTTGGTTGTTGCAGTGATCGTTGTTGGCATCAAAAGCTCTCAACCGCAATGCGCCACACCTGAGCTGTGCCCCAGGCAGCTGCTCAGGTAAACGCAGAGCTGAGAAGTCATCCTGAGAGCGTTTATTGAAGGAAGTTCAGTCAGATAAATGTCATCTGACATAAAGCAGCCATCCCATTGGTCACTTGTTGACTTTGGCTGTAACACAGAAGGTTCTGTGATAACGCTGACAGTAAACGGTAAGAAACAGACACTGACCCAGTTGGACCCAAACCGTCTGAACCTTCCTGTACCTACAACCAACAGAACAACACACACTGGACCGACTTCACTGTCGCTACACAACACCAGTAGATCATGGCTCTGCTGCTCTTCTCTCTGGGTGGTTTCAACACTACGAAGCTTGTTCTCTTTCATTGTTTCATCTCCAGAGACTGCAGGATCCAGTAGAACCAGCTGAGCATCACATCAGGGAGACAGAAGGAGATCCAGTCAGCTTCGCCTCTGTGTCGTATCTCCCAGTAACAGGAGTAACCTCCCACTGTGACCAGTCACTATCATCAGACCTGGTCAGAAAGCTACCTGTGTCGTGTTAGTTTCTGTCGAGTGGGTTACAAAACTAGCAGCACCGTCGAACCACATGGCCTCCTCTCATCAGAGACCAGCCACCAAGGGCTCTTTCTCACAGCTGTACGTTTGTTAAACCTAAATGAAAACTTGAAGACTTTGCCGTATAGCTCTTTATTAAGCAACCCTTTGCTGTGAGTGACGAAGAGTCACATGACACATTAACAGCTGCCTTTGTGCAGAGTCCGACAGAGAAAACCTGGACAATAAGAAAGACGCCAGCAGCATGATGCTCATTATCTGTGACTGCTGTTGGTTTCATCCAGCCAGCTTCCAGAGGCAAAGCCTGGACATGTCAGACATGCTTCATGGTTACACCCTTCTGATCGGTTTACTCTGCTGGCAGCATCAGAGACACTCTTTCTCTTCCTGTAACTCAGTTCTAGCATTCGAACACAAACAGGAAGAACCAGTTTCCTGTTTTCAGACCACATGAACTGGGAAAAGCAGCTCAGTATTGAGACATAAACTAACTCCACTAACGACAGAGTAAAACTCAGAGCAGACAACAACCTCTGTAGCCTCATTAAACTGTTTTGAAATTCAAATATGGAGGCAAATCTCTGGTGAAAGTCAGCCTGTTGACTCTCTGTCCTGCTGTTTCTGAGTTCTGACTGTCTGCCAAGTTGAACTGCGGTCAACGAAAGCTTCAAAGTGAAACTGATCTTTGACTGCAGGGGATTTTCTCTGAGAGTTGCTTTGAATCAGTTAAAGAATGACAGAAAGTTTTGTTTCACAGCAAACGAAACAGAGAGCAACACCCTCCCACTTCACTGTTCAACTCTAAAGCTCTGATCATTATTTTATCAATCGTCGACCAGTATGCAAACATACGGCACAGGAACGTCTTGTGTTATTATTTTACGAGTCACAAGAAACACTTTACCAGTGCACCTTTGTCACATCAGTTTTTAACCTGTCCCCACCTTTAGAACACTGAGCCTTTAACATGGGGTGAAATTCTCCCAGACATTGCTTACAGTTCACTTTTGCATTGTTCATTTTTAGCGAGTAAAGGACCAGTTTCTGTCTGTAGCTGTTTTCACACAGTCTGAGCAGCAAACCACAGAGCGGTCTGAACGTAACATGTGAAGCGTTTTAAGACACCGAGCCAGTTACAGATAATTAACAGTAAAGCATCAGCGTGTCTTTTGTTACTGTTTATTTGGATTTTATGACATTTTTGGGGCCTTTTGTTGATATTTTTCTCGTGTTTTATCAAAATCTTTGGGACATTTTGTAATATTTCTGAGGTATTTTATTTTTTCAGGTGTTTTATGAATATGTTAAACATTCAATGTTTTTTTAATAGCTTTCGTTGGCATTTTTAAAATTACTTTTTTTTTGCACCTTCTATGAATATTTGTTCTAAAACTTTTTATCATATTTTGATTACACTTCAGGGATATGTACCCAAATATACATATAAAATATTATTCTTTTCAATCTTTTTCAGCCTCTCTTTCCAACACACATATTTGAGACACTTTACTGATATTCTAGGACATCTTGGGAGCATTTTATTGTTTTTTTTTTTCTCACATTTAATGAATTTTTTAAAGACGTTTTTGTTTAATGTTTGTGAGAGATCTTGTTCTTTTTTTCCTGACATTTTTTGGAACAACTTTGTGGAAATGTGCTTGAGTGGAAGGAGAAGGTATAAACACTCGAGTGAAGTACCTCAAAACTGTATCAGAGCACAGCGGCTTAGTGAATGTACTGAAGCTTTACCCCTGAATGGATGTGTGTGTGCCAGCAGGGCCTCTGACGTGACTTTAATGTGATTAGAACGCAGTGTGGTCACATGTGTGGGTGAGTGTTTCTGTGAGAATGCGACTCAACACGTTTTACAAGGAATCAAATAACATGTTGAGACGAATCGCGGCTGCAGTGTCAGAGACGCCTCGTGAACAACACTCTGCTCTTTGTCAGTCTTTCTAAACACTGCTGTCACAGTTTCCTGTCTTTGTTGGCTTCTGCCCTGCTGTAACTCTGTGTCTTTGCTCCTGAGGTTAAAGATCAGATGTCAAAATGCAAACCACCAGGTGTCCTTGGGCAAACTGATGCTGCCACCTGCTGTCTGCATTTGTGTGATGCTGGTGAACTTTAAACACACCATGAATGAAGACTCTGCCGTCCACGGTGTTAGGATGTGCGAGTCATTCGTTAAGCTGAAGCGGATGTAAGTGAGGAGGCCCGACAAGCAGGAGGGTTCTTTGATCTGAGCCAGAGCAGAGGACAGGACACCAAGAACATCTCTGCATTTACATTTACATCCAGAACGTTGCTGCTATGTGTGCACTGTTCCTTCCTGCATGTATACAATTTACACATAGTAGCTGGAGATATGTTGGCATTTATTTGGGCAGGAGATATGGAATAGGAAGAACAGTTACCACAATAGGAATTAGTACAAATACAACAATATTATTACAGATCAGACATTTAGAGAGTCGCACCAGAACCTGGGTGTTTACCTGAACAATAAACTGGACTGGTCAGACCACACTAAGGCACTGTACAGGACGGGTCAGAGCAGACTATCTGCTCAGGAGACTGAGACCCTTTATGACTCTGCTGCCATCAGCCATCCTCTATGGAGGGGTCACCAACCTTTTTCAAGCCAAGATCACTTTTCATGTCAGACAAAAAGCAAAGATCTACCATCCATTTTAGATTTACTTTACAGCTTTTAGATTCTAAAATGTAGAAATACAGAAATCAATCCATGACTCGTGTTGTGTTGTTTTACTGCCAAGAACATTTTAAACGTAATTTGACAACTGACATGTAAATTAACAGCAGAGTTGTGAAAATGTATTTAAACATGTGAGCTCTTCTATATATTGCATCATTGAAAGCTGAAGCATCGAATCATGGCCAGAATGATAAACCACAGCACGAGACAAGTCGACCTGGACCTCTGCCCTTTTACGTGCATCACAGTCACAGTCAGTGTGATGGTTGTGCCTGCAGCCCATCAGTTAATGCGCTGTAGTTATAGTTGGAGACACCTGGTCTCACACAGTCAGCAAGGTGTCTGTCAGTCAGATGGGTCCGGTGCTTTGATTTCATTGTTTTCATGTGTGAAAACGCCACCTCACAGAGATAACCATCCATCCATCCTCTCTACACCTTCATCCTCACTATGGGGGGTGGAGTCTATCCCAGCTGACTCAGGGTGAAGGCAGGTTCACCTGGACAGGTAACCAGTCTATCACAGGGCTACACTTAGAGACAGACAACCAAGCACACTCACATTCACACCTATGGACAATTTACAATCACCAATTAACCTCAGCATGTTTCTGGACTGTGGGAGGAAGCCGGAGAACCCGGAGAGAACCCACGCTGCACGGGGAGAACATGGAGACTCCACGCAGGAAGATCCCGGGTGTCCTCACCGGGACGCCAACCGAAAATTAAACTCGAAGACAAAGAGTGTTCTTCCTGAAGGGAGCGGGGCCAGAAACAGCTCAACTTAAACTTGTGTTTAAAACCACAGACAATGAAACATCCCTATTAGACCAGAACTCACACCAGGAGTTTTACAGTCATGGAGGAATTCACCATCTCTGTGGTGATTTGAGATGAAACTGGAAAGATGTATTCTGAGATCGTGTGAAACTTTGGACAACATGTGAGCTTTAACTCTTGACCAAAGTCACGCCTCCATCTCTGTTTCTGTGTCTCTGTCCTTTGCACTAAACATTGTGTCATTATCTGAAAATGAAGGAGGATGCTTAATGCTGCATAATTTTACCAGGCTGTGCTGTGAGTCTTACTGCCCCCTGCAGGACAGCTGTGTCACTGCAGCAGAACAGAAGAATAAGAACACAAGCACAACAAACTTCTAAACCAAATCCCATGTACAGTCAAAAACATAGAATATATTCATCATAGTAATATTATCCCAGTGGAGGGGAACTACTCTGTGAAACAATTACTTCATGTGTCCAGAAACGCTTTCTCTCTGTGACAGAACCAAGATTGTCGATTTAGTCATTTCTTACTTAAGCTAATGTTATTCTTGTCCAGAACATTTTCAGTTCGAGTCTGAACAAAACAAGTTAACAGCATAATATACTGTAACTTCTCACTTCAAGAAACAAACAAAAGAAACCCTGTCTGCTACCAAGATCCAGCGATAGCC